GCGCAAACTGTCCTCCGACAGGAATTTTGTGAATTTATATATTTTATTTATATTCGCGAATCGAAACATTTATTCCTATTATTATTATTATTATTATTATCCGTTTCGCGATTTTCAAAAAATGTTTTCCGTTTTTTTTTTTTTTTTTAATGATGTTAATAAAACAATTTTATTATTATTATTATTAAATTAATAATAAAAGCGGAAGAAATATTAAAAATCGTGTGAACTTTGTTTGTTTTTCTTTTGTTTTTTTTCGTTTTTTGTTTGTTTGTTTGTTATTTGTTCGTTATTAAATTTATGTAAAAAAAAAAAAACTTGAAACATTTATCATCATCATTATCATCACCGACAGAATTCAGTAAAATTTTTATTTATAATGTGATGACGTAAATTATTAATAAAAAAGGTAAAAAATTAATTATTTAAATTTTATTAAAAAATTTTTTTGTCGGGTTAATATAAACAGTTAATAAAATTATTAAAAACTTTATGATAATGATGATAATTAATAATAATAATAATGATTTTTTTCATATTTTTTAAATAAATAAATTTGTTATTATTATTATTATTATTATTATTTGTTAAACGATAAATTTTTTTTACATCGCACGTGAAATAAATTTTTGAAAAATGAAGGAAAATTTTTATAGTAATGATAATAATAATAATAATAATAATAAATATAATCTACCGGATGTTGAATTTAATTAATGTGACGTTGTAGTAGTAATAATAATAATAATAATAATAATAATAATAATAATAATAATAATAGTTGGGTAATTATTTTTTATAGGGATTATAAAAAAAAAAAAATGGAAAAAAAAAAGAAAACCTGTCGATCGAATGTTTCGAACAAAAAAAAGGAAAAAGGAAAAATAGTTTTTATAAACTTATCGGGAAAAGAAGGGGGGAAAAAAAGGGTCAAAGGTCATTTTTGTTTTTGTTTTGTTTTAATAAAACTTTTTACATAGTTTATTTTAAAAAAAAAAATTAACTCGAATGCAACTGACTAACTGATGGAAAGAAACGTGTTTTTTATTAACCGTAATATTAATAATAATAATGATAATAATAATAACGATCATAATGATAATAATGATAATGATAATGATAATACAACGTAAAAACTTTTTTTTTTTTTTTTTACAACACGTGATAAAGTAAAAAAGAAAAAAAAAATTTGATTGATTGATTTATGTTATGTTTAATCGTTTTCTCGTGTTATCACGCGTACGCG